AGTTAGTGCTGAGAGTAGTATTTCCTGGGCAGTGTAAGTCTTCCATTTCTACCCACTTCAAAATGTTGTTGCTTTCAACAGTATAGTTCCCAGGTCTTAGAGTTTTGGGGAAGCCTCCCAAAGACCACCCCCTCAATCTTCCTGAGCCAGCAGACTTACAGCTTCAGAGACAACAGTGGTCAGTCTCAGAGCTGCTTTTCAGAACTCTGAATGACAAGAATTGAGCTGATTTCATCCTACTGTTCTGGGGAATCTGCTCTGGGCAGCATTAGAGGAAGGTTTTGTTGTTCTTCATGGAGCTCAGAAAGCCTGAGTAGCAGGAGCCCCACCAGTCCAGCAACAGCAGGTATGGAGGGGAGGAATAGAAGAGGACAGGGTGAAGGAAGAGAAAAAAAAGTTCTCTCCCTTCTCGGAATCCTAGGGTGTTCATATCTAGCAGTCAACCATATCCAGAAGTGCACAGGGACAACATTCCTGGAAGAAAAACCAAAATCATCCCCCTTCCCAAGAACAAAGAGAGGGGAGGCTGGTCTCTTATCCCCTTTAGACTTTCACAGGCAGCCCCCAGCACTTTCTGTATCAGTATCTGATTAGGAAGTTCAGGGTTGTGCTGTACATTTGTAGATGTGTCCAAGCTAGCTGCAATCTCCCTTGACGACCAACAAAAGCGAAGACACAGTGACACTTGCTTCAGAGCAAGCTGCCCAAGCTTGCCTAGGGCCCTGAATGCACGTTCAGGAAGGTAGATTCACCAAAGTCTATGACACCATGACTTTACTGCAATTGGTATTCATGCTAGCTAGAGAGAGGTGGCTAGTTGTGTTAGTCTGGGATCAAGCAGAAGGCACCTTAGAGAGATGAACCGGTTCAGAGACGTGTGTTCTCACAGGTAACAGCCTACTTCACCAGATGCTAGCTAGATGACAGCTACCTCCAATACAACCACACAATTGCATTCATGCCCTGGACTGCAGTGTATGCACTTAACCTTCTGGCTACTAGGTATCCAGTACAATTTTCCTGCTATGAGGTAGTACCTCTGTCCTGCATCTTTCATGAATAAAATTCATGCCAGAAATGCAAGGAGAACATTTAACAGACCCTCAGATTAAAACAAATAAAAAAAAAAAAAAAAAGAGAGAGAGAGAAAGAAAGGTTTTCCA